AATCTGTTGGAAACATAGATTGTGCTTTGCTTCAAGGATAGCTTTACTGTCTTTAGTACTGCGACTTCCTTCTTTGGTACGAATACCAGATTTTAACTTGTTCTTCAACGGTTTCAATTCTCTTTCTCGATGCTGGCGTCTTGTCGCAACTTGATTCTTCTTCTTATTTGCAGAACTGCCACTCCTGCTCAAAGGCCATTCTCTTGGTCTCTTTGGAACTTGGGAAAGGTTCAGCCCAGACATTGCAGCTTGCGCATACGTTTGCCCAGATCGAGTGACTTTTGCTACTTGACGGATTTCAGGCTCAAATACAATCTCTTCTTCTGGCGGTTCTTGTAGATCCTCCAGATCAGTAACGAGGCTCCCAATATCATTGGTTCCTCTATCGACATTTTCTTGATGGTGATCCAAATTGGCCACAATAGGTTCTTCCTCTTCATTGCCTTCATCACCCGAATCGTCGTCTGATTCATAGTCATCATCTCCTTGGAATCTGACAGTGAGTTCTGGCATATCATTGACATCATTGTCTGCATCTGCCAAGAGCTCTTCTCTGAATTGGGTCGGGAAATCATCTTCTTAGTATTGAGGTTGAGCACACGGTGCCCAGTATGTTGTCCCTTTGTAGGTTCAATGTAAATTGCTTCGATACTTTGGGGTTCCATCGAATTGTTGGAATCCGTCCCAATTGTATGAACATATTGTCCAAGTTCAGCAACCATGTCACTCTTGTAGTTGATATTGACATTATCAATGAGTTGCTGCGGACTGAAATGTGATGAGATACTGTCTTTCTTGGGAAAGACATTCAATAGCTCGGCGGCTTGACGTCCAAGACATTCAGTGATCACTTTTGGGACCACTTTGTAGGGTAATTGTGCAAGAGCTACTCTGACTCTTTCTTTCAGCGTCCTATTGTTCCGCTCAGCGGTAGGCTCGTGGTCTCCAGCTGCAGTCGGGTCAATAGTAACACCCATATTGTCTAGCATATCATCCGTGAGAGGAATGAACGCCTGATCACAATCGCGCTTTTATTATCCTTATACAAGATATTCTTCTCGATCGGATACCCTTGCCACTCCATGAACAACTTTGTCCATAGAGTCGGAATATATATTCCGATGCGACACGTGTGATACTCCACAACATGTGCCATATACAAACAAAAATCCCACGATCCACATTTTGGTGTGAAACCAAAAATTCACATACGTTGAACGTTAAGCTGTTGAACTTTCAATGTATCAATCTTCATGTGATTGTTTGAACACATCGAAATAAGCGAATAGTTAACACGATGAATGGCAGTTGAACCTATGAACACTGAGTCTAGCAATCGGAGACGTCGCTAAACTCAACAAGTTCTCACTGCCATATCGTCACAATTTTAGTAAATCTGCACTTTTACATCAAACTATTGTCTCTCAAGTTTGATACTTCTATCAAACTACTTTGCTCCAAATACATAACAGCTCTGTCTACAGATATTTTCTGACTGGTTATTACAGCCCAAATCGGATAACTACCACACGCTTCCCAACAAGAATACAACACAAACAAATCAGGGATCTCAACCTACAA